GTTTGAAAAGCTTGGATTATCAAAACACACAACAAATGATAGAACCAAATATATAGATGATACAGTGAAGCACAAGGTCAAAATTTTAAAACGGGTGAGCTCTTCATTAATGCATTATTTTGTTTAAGAGCTTTTAGTATGGACTGACTGCATTAATTTTGAAATTTCTCATTAGAAGTTTTAATGTTCTTTTACATTTAAAAATTTATTTTTCCATAAACGTGAATAGGTTTTTATTTAAATTTTTTGGCAATCTTGGTGAAACCAGTTAGTGACTTCTAGAATATGCATGTCTTATCTCTTGTAGTCTCTCATGCTGTTTCTAGCCTCTAGTTTGGTACTTGAATTTTCTGTTTTAGGGTGTGTGTCAATCTTGTGGGTTTAAGTGTAAATTATGCTTGCTAATTTTTTTTTATTGTACTTTATTTTCTGGGGTACATGTGCAGATCATGCAAGATTGTTGGGTAGGTACATTCATGGCAAGGTGGTTTGCTGCCTCCATCTTCCCATCACCTGTACCTGACATTTCTCCCCACATTATCCCTCTCCACCCTCCTTTCCACTGCCCCTCCCCTAGCTCCCCACAATGGACCACTAGCTTGCTAAGTTTTTTTTTTTTAAAAAAGCTTTTCAATTCATAAATATCTACTCGCGTTTTGATAATTTGGGATTATTTTTTGACTACTTTCTGAAAGTATTTTCTAAATAGAAATTTCAAGATATTTCGGCTTTAATAGGAGAAATGTATAAAGGACACAGCATTTTATCTTATTAAATTTTCTTGACTCATTGTACACCTTTTTATTACCTATTAATTTTTTAATCATTAATTTGTTATTCTTGAATACTTTTAGAGAGGAAACACAGTGGCAACAAATGTATGTGAGTAGGCAAGTATAATCCAAAATACAAAGAACATGAATTTTAGAGTTGGGACTTTGGAAATCTTTTAGTCCAACCATTTTGATTTATTAATATGCCCTACAACATTTCTAGGAAGTGATTCTCTAGTTTCTCTTTGAAATCCGTTGCAAAGGGATACATCTTCATCTTTAAGCATCTCTATTTGTTAGAAAGTTCATCAGTTTGAGCTGAAGTTTGCATCCCTGAATTAAAGCCTCCTTGTTAAAACTAATTTCTGTACAACATGGTATGGACGTTAATTTAGGTTGAAGAGCATGAGCATGTGTTCTCCAGAATCTTGCCTATTATTTACAAATCCATTTCTTTCAGGCATTCCTTGTATGACAAACCTGGATTAAGTTCCAGTTTGCCGTATCCTTGTGGCATCGAATATTTTTTGTCTCTCAAGACTTTTTGAGAATCAGATTCTGTCCCTTTGATACATGTTATTACTTTGTTGATGTGATCATCAAAGTAATTGATAATATGGATCTGAGCCACAGTGAGAACAGGTTATAGCATGTCTTTGGAAAACTTCTATTTATTATTAACTAGCATTAATAATCACCTCTATGTACAACTTCTTGGCCATTTAGAAGTATAGCTAATTGTATTGTCCAGTAGCTAAGTTGTCTCTGTCTTGCTTAAAAAGATTATAAAGGCTGGGCATGGTGGCTCACATCTGTAACCCTAGCACTTTGGGAGGCGGGGACGGGTAGATCGCTTGAGGTCAGAAGTTTGAGACCAGCCTGGCCAACATGGTGAAACCCTATCTCTAATAAAAATTCAAAAATTAGCCAGGTGTAGTGGCGGCGCCTATAATCCCAGCTACTCCGGGGGGTTGAGGCAGGAGAACCAGGGACAGTCATTCGAGATCGTGCTACTTCACTCCAGCCTGGGCAAGAGTGAAAATCTGTCTCATAAATAAATAAACACATAAACAAACATTAACAATTGTTAATATTTTGAGAAAGCCCTCTATCCAGTCTGTATCAGAAAAGAAACTGAGGTAAGTCTGATTCTGCAAATGCATGTACCATCCAAGTGATCACTACTTCCTTTTCTTGTTGTGAACTGTTGACTCTTATTTGGACTTGTCTGATGTTAGTTTATGAAATCTGCTTTTCTTATCCTTGGATTTTTATGTTGAACTGTTTATTGAGTTTCTGTTGTATGGCATAGCACTGCCTGCCTTGGGTGTATAATATTGAAGCATGTTCCTACTCTCAGGAATGTCTAGTTGCAGAGGCAAAAAAAAAAAAAAAAAAAAAAAATAGAGGATTCTTAGTCTAGAGAAAAATCACTATTTTGATTGTGCCCTGTTTTAAAACCTGATGATATATCTGTCTATATGGCATTCCTCTCCCTGTCTTTTAGGCACATTAGCAGGATGTGATTACTGTCTCCCAAGTGTCTCAGAATTCCAGTTTTACTAGTAATTCTTGGTGGATTGTAACTAGAACCAGAGTGTCAGGTACTCTGAGGGTTTATTTTACCTCAAGGGAATTAAAATTGTCATTAGGCACACCGAGAACTTAAATTGATACACTTACTGTTAGTGAACTTAATTTCATTTGTTTTAGAAATACACTGAAAAATATAGATACTTATTTCTTCACAATTTCCTTTTCCTTTTTCCATATCCACAGCCAAATAAGAGAATTCTTACTACCTTATTTTTAATTTTCTTTCTACTAACGGTATTGGGAGCATGATCTCTAGATCTTTGTTTCCGCTTTATAAGCTATTATGTGTTCTATGCACAGTAGGTGCAGAATAGATTTTGAATGAAAGAGTGAATCTCATTTTACTAATAATCAAGAGTTATTTTTGTACATCTTAAAAAACATTTAAACACTTAACTGGGCCAAAGAATGGACTATGTTTGCTATATTAATAGGTTGTAATATTAGGTCTGATTTTTTTTTTTATCCACATACTATTGAGGCTTACCTTATATTTAAAGATCGTTTAGTGGTTTTCATTCTAATGAATTAAGTACTATTTTTCAGGAGTCTGGTGAAGGCAGAAATTCATCAGACTATAGAGATAACGAAATTAAAAAATGGCAGCTAGCTCCTCTTCGTAAGATGGGACAACCAGTTTNAACCAGTTTTACCTCGGAGATCCTCAGAAGAGAAAAGTGAAAAAATACCAAAAGAGCCTACAACTGTTATTTGCACAGGAGAAAAAGCTTCAAAACCAGGTAGTGAGATTAACAGAAATAATTATATACTAATATATATATATATATAGCTTATTTAATATACAATTAATTAGTATACTTAGGGAGTTTTTACAAATTTAACATTTTAATGGCAGTAAAAATAGGTAATGTGATTGGCCTTACTTGTAAATAAAAACTGTTGCTCTAAATTCTGGGGAAGCACTAGTAAAATTAAGGTAAGACCCCTCTTCTCATGGCACTTAAATACTAATGGAGGAACGCAGTAAGTTTGTAAGTAAGAAAATTCCATGTTATTTTACAGCTTGTGAAGAAAAAGTGGAGTCATGGGATAGATAGTCACAACTGGATTGAGTAATTGGGACTTCTGTTTTAGATGGAATGGAGGAGGTAACTTGTGAGGTGGGAAATGGAGGGATGCAAAGATTTTTGGAGGAGATACTAGGTAAGGGACGCATCAAATCTTAAGGCTTTGTGGTAGAAACAAGCGTGACGTTTGAGGAGCAGGAAAGACAGCTACTGTAGAGTGATTAGAAGATAATTCATGAGGGATAGAATAGTGTTAGAACATGAGGTCAGAGAACATATAGGACCTTTGGGATTATGGCAGAGTTTATATTTTGTTCTGAATGTTGTGGGAAACCTTTAGAGGGTTTTGTACAAGGGAGAACTCTGGTTGCTCTGTACCGTTTGGATTGTAGGAGGGCAGGAGAGAAAGAGAGTAGACTCATTAGTCTATAGCAATAGCCTAGGAAAGAAATGGTGGTAGCTTGGAACAGAAACACAGTGAAGGTAGTGAGTAGTGGTCAGATTCAGGTAAGTTTTATAATAGAGTTGACAGAACTTGTTGATAGATTAGATTTAGGTTGGTAAAGGAAAGAGAGTCTGAGAAAAGAGAAAAAGGTTTGGAGAGGAAAAATGAAAAATTATATTTTGGCCTTTGTGAGATTCCTATTAGAAGTCTAGGTGGAAATGTTTTGAGTAAATCTTTGGCTGATGAGTCTAGAGCCTATTAGAAGACTTTGGAGGTTGGTATATAAATTTGGGATTTACTAGTGCATAGCAGTTAGTACAGGTAAAATATCCCAAATCTGTAAATCTAAAATCTGAAACTTGAATGCTAGCATGATGGTCAAAGACAATGCTTGTTGGAGCATTGTAGATTTCAGATTTTCTGATTTGGGATGCTTCACTGGTAAGTACAACGCAAATATTACAAAATTTGAAAAAACCCAAAATTGAAAATACTCTGTTCCCAAGCATTTCAGGTAAGGGGATACTCAACCTGTATTTAAAATCATGAGCTTAGAGGTAAATAGCTACAGAGAGTTTGATAATGAAGGGACAGAAGCAGAGCCCTTGGGGAGCACCAGCATTTACTTTTATTTTATTATTTTTATGATAGGGTCTTGCTCTGTCACCAGGCTTGGGTGCAGTAGTGCAGTTAACAGCTCATTACAGCCTTGAGCTCCTGGGCTCGAGCTATCTTCTTGCCTCAACCTCCTGAGTGGCTGGGACTACAGGTGTGCACCACCACACCCGACTAATTTTTTGATTTTTTGTAGAGATGGTGTCTCACTATATTGGCCAGGCTGGTCTCAAACTCCTGGCGTTCAAGTGATTTTTCCTGCTTTGGCCTCTCAAAGTGCTGGGATTACGGGGTGAGCCACTGATCCTGGCCATCAGCATTTAAGAGTTGGGGAGAGAAGAGGATATAGAGCAAAGGAAACTTATGGGTGGCCTGTAAGGACAGGGGAGAACTGAGACTGGTGTTCTGGAATCTAGGTGAAGTTTCAAGAAGAAAGGAATGACCAAATGATGTCTGGACATCTAATAAGATAAACACAAGATTGTGAAGTCTATGACTTAGCAAAATGGAAATCATTGGTGACCTCAACTAGAACGGTTTTGGTGGAGCAGTAGGGACAAAAGCCAGTTGTAGTGGCTTATGAATGAATGGAAGAGTGAGGACCTGGAGATACTGATTACAGATAACTCTTTCAAGGAATTTTGCTGTTGAAGGAAACAAATACTCTAGTAGCTAGAAGTGGATGTGAATTTTTTTTTAAAAGAAGATATTACAGCATGTCTGAAAGACTAATGGGAATGATCCAATAGAGAGAGAGAGGATGATGATGATGATGATGATGATGATGATGTAGGAGAAAGGTGATAGTATAGATGTGAAACTCAGGAAGAGATGAGGGGATGGGATTCACTTCACGTGGAGGGAGGAATTTATCATAGAAAGGGACAGCTCAGCCACTGTATAGTAGGGAAGACCTTATGTGGTAAGAGGAAGAACTGATGCAGATAGGTTGGATTTGGTAATGGGAAAACATGATAGCTGACATTTTTCCATTTTCTCGGTGAAATATGAAGAGCAAATCAAAAAGGTTGTAGTTGAGAAGGAGGTATTGTTGGTTTGAGATGAGAGGATAAAAAGTATGAAATAGCTATCTTAAAAAGTGGGAGAGCAAATTTATTAGAAAAAGTTAATAGGATTAGGGCAAAATGTGAGGTACCTACTTAAAACTTGTTATAAGTTTGAAATGATGTCTGTCAGTACCAGTGCTTATTTTTCTCCCGTTGTCTTCAGCTGTTTGTTGCGTATTAGGATAAAAGTTGGCTTTCAGCAGAGTTGTGGTTTTGCCAACACAGAAGATTAAAGGAGAGAAAATAAAGGTATTAAGTATACAGGGGCTGCTAATGGTATTGGACTATCTAATCTAAGTTTATAATGTAGAAAAGTGAATACATGAAGATAGCAAAATGATAGATTTAAGAATTGTTGGAATTAGGAGATTCTAGAATAAATTGTGCTGGTATAATAAGTCAGAGCAGTGGGATGTTTGGCATTGAGATTTTGGAGATGCGTGGGAATTAGTAATGATAGAATAAAAATAATTTGAAAAGCTTAACATTCAAATGATTAATATTAAGCACAAACAAAACCAGAAGAGATTCATCTGTTTTGTGGTATTGGTTTATTTTCTGCACCTAATAAGTTCAGATCAAAATTTCTAAATAGGTTTTTAAAAGTTAGTATATATATATATGTGGAAACGTAACTAGCTCTGAAAGCCATTATCTAAGTTGAGGAAAGAGTAGGACCAGTTTTTAGTCACTATTCATTTTAATTTTAATTAGAATTTCAGTGTCAGGAATATTTCAGCATGGACCGTGGGTTCTGATCTTATTTCTAAATAGCGACTTTTAATCAGTTTTGTTTATAAACTTATGCATTAAAAAGGAAAGTTATTTTTAAAAGCAATGTAATGAGTTGTGATATTTATTTAAATTAGGTACTCATGAGAAGCAAGACACGAAAAAGAAGAAAGTTGAAAAAGGAGTTAATGTACATCCTCCTGCTTCTGCTTCCAAGCCTTCTGCAGATC